TGTCTTTTTCAGGAAATAATGTATGAATCATTGTGGTGTTTACATGTATGGCTTTGTACAGTTTGGTGCAGATCCAGATAATAATCTGGATCCAACAGACATGTGTTTGTTTGGCCTTGGTGGCGGTATCTGCTCTACTGAGTGTGACACCTCCACAGATGCTTCGATAGGATTATATTTCTGTTTTCTCGAGAAATGTGTGGCGTGTGTACAAATGTTGAAAACTTTTCCACTCAGCATTTAATTAGCCCTCAATCCTAAAGAGATATCATGGCATCATCAAAATAAAATGAGATGTGTTTATTCAAGGCAAAGACAGCACTGACAGATAAAGCGGTAGAGCGTGACGCTGTTTTTGGCATGTAAGCATCTTGTTGTTTTTGGCAGCATCATGGGTTGGTGCTTTTCGGATGGTTAGGCAAAGAGAATGTTTTGATCTGATCTTTTAATGTGTAGCAAAGGTGGTGGGACGTTCTGTACAGTACAGTGACATGGTGTAAAGAGAGCGAGAAGTAAATAGTGAGGCTGATAAGCATCGAAACCCGTTGGTGCTTGGAAGCAGGAGTGTGCAGTCGGGGTCAAATTTAATACATGGATTTGAAGCTGCTGTGGTTGTGCCGCTGTCAGGCCGCTGTCCCTGTGTGTGTGTGTGTGTGTGTGTGTGTGTGTGTGTGTGTGTGTTGCTTTTGAAATGCGTGCATTTGACTACCTTTTCCAAATCCATATAGCAACAAGTTAAGTAGGCTATGCTTTTTGCAGAAGGTGTATCTTCGATGTGGGGGTGGGACAGTCAGCTGTTTAGAGCACCCACTGGCAGAAACATAGACTGGTGTCTGTGCTGTATAACATGCATGCAGGGTTTTCATGTAAATCCTTTGTGTTTGGTCGGCAGTCTGAATCCAGCACGGGAACTCCACCACTGTCAATAAGAGAGAAGAGAGAGAGCTTAGAGAAATTAAAAAACAATAATAAAGTAAACTGATTAATAGCTCAATTAAAATTTGACCATTGACTTCAACTCCAAAGGTTCTTTTTCTGACAAAGGCACAAACTCAAGTCTGTTCCAAAACACATGCACACAAATAACCACATGTGTGTTGCGTGTGTGGCGTGTGAAGCAGAACCACCAAGCTATTGTCACTGAAGACGGACGGCGACATCAACAGCACACACACACAATGACAAACAGCCCTGACCACGCCGCTGACAAGTCCAATCATCTGCCAGTCGCCAACAAGGCCGACAAGAAGCAGATGATGTCAGTTCCCCCTCTTTATTGAGTTATCAGGTTGATTGAGTGTAATTGAGCAATGCATCGGAGTGCAGAGAGACAACACCAAGCCTCAGGAGAGGTAGGAGGAGGGGAGGAGGAAGGGTGTTTCAGGAACCAGGAAATGCTATACGGCACCAGGGCCATGAGATTAGCGCTGACAACGACTCAATATTACTAGCTGCCTCGTAATCAGCTAATAAGACCGATTGAGCCCCTCACACAAAAGATTTCTTATCTGCTTCAGTCCAGCGCCAGTCATAGTTATAAAGATGGAGACTTTAATAAGTACAAATTATCACAAAATTTATAACTAAGCACATAACACCAATTAAAAGCTTGTGTGATCTAGATGTTGTTCCCCTGAAAGAAATCTCTTTTAATGAGCAGAGTACAGTTTAATGTTACACAAGAAAGCATTAAGATTAATACTAAAACAGTTATGTGGACTCTTTTCGTCAAGAGCTGCCCAGAGTATTTGGATCAAATTTATGTGTCAATTTAAAACCACCAAAAGTTGTGGTGTGGAAAGATGCAGAAGAGCATCAAGTGCAGATGTATTGAAAATCCCTCCAAGACTTCTTGCATTAGTTAGTAGAGATATTTGTCCTGAAGACCTTTGAGCGGATCGTTTTCCACTCAGTCCGAAGATAACGAGACTCGACCAGGGCTCAAAATATACTCAGTCAGAATTTGATCGGGTCTTTTTCTTTTCTCAGGAAATAATAAGCATATATGTAAAACATGTATGCTATTAAATGCTATTTCTTTTCCCCCAGAATATGATTCACATTCGCTACTAAAGAGGTTGGAAAATTGTTATCTTTTGTTAACATATTTCCCAGTTGGCTAAAGAAAAGTTTTGTTGGTGAAGGTGAAAATACTTTCAAATAATTTCTACAGATATGTTTTTATTTGGAGTTCGTTTCTGTGACTGCGAAGGAGATTAATAATATATTGCTGCTCTTTTCGACCACTATTGTGGGATTTCCAACTCAGATATCTTTTCTCCTCTCAGCCTAGTTGAAGTGAATCTCTTCTTTCCTCAGTCTCAGTGCGCACCTCGGTCCACAGTTTAACTTCCAAGGCATTATGTGTTTGCTTCATCTAGGAAAGAACTGCTGGGAACTGTTTTTTTTTTTTGTTTTTTTATCTTCGTAATTCCCTGATTTATTTTTCATTTCCTCCACCCACTTACCCACACACCCACACACACACACACACACACACACACACAAAAATCCCCTCTGCTCTTGTCGTCCTGGAATTCATTTCCAGCTTGAAAGTGACATAATACTCATGAATAACTGCATCCTGAGAAAACTACTCAATTATTACACATGTGACCCTCGAGACTTCCTCAGCACGGATTCTCTCATATTTCCATCCTTTCCTCTCCTGTTCTGTTTTATTTTGTCAATTCAAAGCTGCACATTTGTTGACTGAGCTGTTTTCTTCCTTCCATTCAAAACTGGGAATAACAAGAAAATGAATGAGAGATGGGAAAGTGTGTGTGTTCATGAATAGTACATGTACATCTGTTTACAGGTCTGAGGTCTCAGTGAATGTAGTTGTGTAAAAGCCTTCCAGACAAAGCTGTGTAAATTGCCTCAAGTGATGTCATTTGAGTCCGTGTTTGTCGGGGCTGACGACTTGTAAAAATCTGGACGTGTGGAGTCAGAAAGAAGTAAGCTCACAGACCTCTGCAGCCCGCTCCTCGTCTCAAGGCTACGTTAGCTTCTGCTATCATAACACACCCGAATCACCAACTAAACTTTTGGTGGTCAAATTGCATTGTGGGTATTGTAGGTTTAGGCAAGGAAGGAGAAATCATGGAATAAAAAAGACGACATCTCTTGTTCTGCTGCATCGATGATGTTTTTTTGTTTTTTTTTAAGCTGTCCATTGTGAGTCGGACATACTGTATGTCCTTGGAGTGGGTTGCTAAGGCAGCATTTTTTGGTGTGGTGAAAATTTGATTGACACCTCTCTTCCTGTTCCATGTGTTGTTTCAGTCGACTGTATTTATTCATTTCTAAATTGTCCAAAGTGGAACAGAATGTAACACAAATAACCCTGTTATATGTGAGGTTTCTGGCGTGACCTATGATTTTGTCAGCGTTTTTCAGCACGGCTCTCTTTTGTTACTGAATTATTGTCAGACAGCACATCAGAAGAACGCGCTATCATCTCAGCGCTTATCCACCGCATCCAACCGCCTTCACTAGGCTGCCATTCTCACCTGGTATTAAGAGGTGGCAGATAAATGTGTTGGGCCGCTCAGTCATCGCGAGCGCTAATGGACCAAGCAAAGTGGTTTTTGTTGTGAAAACCTTTTTTTGAAGCGAAAGTTCCTTACAATGGAAATACAGGCAGCACAAAAGTAGCCTCATCATTATACTGTCGTATAATGATGAGGCTACTTTTATCTATGTCTACACATGGAAACAATTCAAACAGGTTTTTATAGTCTTTGTTGTTGCCTGATGTAAATGCTCTGGAGGCTGGTTTGTCTTTAAAATGAACATCCTTTAAATTCATTCTCATTATGTGGATACAGTGGGGTCCAAAAGTCTGAGAGCACACTGTCTGTTTCTAATATTTTCACATAAACCTGGAAATAATCAGAAATCACAAATGCAAGAAGAAACGTTTAAGATTTTTAACTGTTTCTTGGTCAGGAATCAGATTTAAGCAAAGTTGGGGCACTGACAAACTTAACTCTGTCACATGATTTACTGAAGGAACTCATCTTATAGCCAGTGTTCACCAATTACAACCAGGCTGTGCCTCAAGTGTCCAGCAGATCATTGGTTGCTAAGTAACATTGTGATAGTAGTAAAAATGGCATCAGAACTAAGTTAAAGTGTCAGAAGTCCAATGTTATATGTTCTGAATATGTTATTCATCAACATGCTGAATCCGCGGCGGCTCGAGTGCATGCACTCATGCTGTCTTTAAAGCAAAAGGGAGACAAACTAAGATATTCTGAAATTCTCAAAGATTTAACTTTTCACTCAAACTGTTAACCTGACTTCATTTGTATATGAAAAAAATAGTACTACATTTGAAACAAAAGCATAATATACTGTATTCCCGGGCTTCTCCAGGCCGCACGCTCAGATTCTGAAACCCCAATTACCCCCGATGTATCAACGCTGTGCGAGTGTGAGTCATTGGTGTATAAATGTGTGAATGAATGGGTGAACGCAGCTTGTAATGTAAAGCAAATGTTCTTGTCAACATGTTTTTTCTGTTTATCTGCTCATAGCTACTAAAGGATGGTTAAACTTGCTTTTGCTTATGTTTAGGCTCTTAGTCACAGGTTATACTAAGGTTATAGAAAGATGGTGGTTTAGGTTTAATACAGGAAAAGTCCACAGAGACTTGGAGCATGAGACAGGAAGCTCATTATCATTTTAACCTAAAGCATGATTTTCCCGAACCCTAGCCAATCTATTTATTCATCTATCTAAGACAATTAGGACAACATCTCATTCACAGCGACGAGCTGACAGTGAGTCATGACTAACCGCGTGCATGATATGCAAGCAGCTGATTAAGTCTGACACAAAAATGTCTGTGTGTTGCTACAATATCAGTTCGTTCTCTGACATGCCATATGTGCTAAATGACTATTTAATGCAGGACATTTAGTCAGTTCTGAAAGACACTGTCAGTATTACCACTTTACTAAAAAAAAAAAACTCTCCTGCTTCATCCTCTGCAGACACTCTCTCAGTGCCTCGCTGGTCCCCACAGATTCCCCGAAGAGATCTGGGAAACTCAATAAAACACAGGTAAGCCTAAAGGAAAGTGTGTGTGCACACTCACCCACACACTCATGCATCTGTGCTAGAATGCCAGTCCAATTAAAAAGGGCCTCTTGCATAACTCATCTCAACTCTCTGTCTCGCTTTGTCTGTCTTCCTCTTTCTCTCTCTCTCTCGCCCTGCTCGACTCCGCATGCTAGTGATCTGAAAAGTAAAGCAGCACCGTATTAGTTGTGGGATCTCAGCAACCTCCAGAACGTGGGTGTTGTGCCTGCTGAAAAAGTCAGCGAGGTGGAAGGAGAACCTCTAAGCCGCATCATATACAGCCGAACTGAACGCAAATGTAATTTATAAAGCCTTTATTTGAAGATTAAGGCTGGTTTTAAGAGAAATACCGTTATTCCGTCCAACAATCTCCCCGATGTGCCAATTTGTATATCTCTACCGCTGTGCTCTTGATCACATTGTTGGCCTGTTAAGATAAGTGCATTTTCGGAGCTGGTATACAATGCACAGCTGCGGCTGTATGGCCTCGTCTGTGCTGAAAAAATGTTTCTCTTTGCAGAATCTGCCCTTAATGTCACATCATCGTTCATATTTGACAGCAGAGTCCACTGAAAACTCCATCAGGGGTCGGCTGGAGTTGTGCCTCTCAATTGAGTCGAAGGAGGGGCCTAATAAAGAGATTTGGATTCTGTCAAACTGCATTAGTCATCTGCCATTAGCCAGCCAGCCGCACTGCTAGCATGCATCAGTAAATACAGCCAATAGTCGCATATACGTGCTCCAAGCGCTCAGTCAGTCTGTGCAAGGAGCTGGTTGTTACTGCAGAGCACACTGTGGATTTGTTTGTTTGACAAGTGAATGTGTTGGAGTCTTTTAGAGTGGCGGAGGCCTCCAAGCTCCCACTCGGACTGAATGTTGAACTGATGTAAACCCCTTGGCCTCCCTCCTGCGCTGCAGAGCGACTGTATGAGATATTCATTTGCACAGGGTTACTGAAGAAATGAAAATGAAATGGACCCAAATTGAATCTGCAGGTGAGGGAGATTAGGAAGGTAAACACTTTCACTGAAGTAGCTTCTTCGGGCATCTGTCATCCTCACGGAAAGGTTACGCAGGGAACGTGAGGCCTTCTTTGGCTAAAGCTGTCTTGTCAGAATGAGAGAACGCTCTGAAAGGCAAAAGGTCAGAAGCAGTGCTCTCCTCACGGTAATCCACGGCTCTTACATGTCATATAGATGTGCAACAAGCTGAAAGTGATGTCCTGATGTTTTAAAAATGTCCTCATCTCGCTCTCTCCTCTTTTGCCTGCAGGTTTTCCACCAAGTATTGGATGTCCCAGACATGCATAGTATGTGGAAAGGGAATGTTGTTTGGACTGAAATGTAAAAACTGCAAGTAGGTTATTAAGACTGGTTTTTGACTTAAGTATCATTCAATCCCAATCGAATTCAGTCTTATTATTTTTTTGCTTGTTTTATTATTTTTGTTGTGCTTTTTTTTTTTTCTCTCTAGGTGACATGTTTAAGAACCCTTTTATTTTCATCTCACTTGAATTGGAATTAGCAATTAGCACCCTCTTGTTTGTTTTTCTACATGTCACCGCTTCCACTTTGCATAGGTTCAACGCTGTGTCAAAAAAAAAAAAAAAAAAAGATTTCAATAATAGCAACAACAAGTCAAACACTAACCAAATTCCTGTCCTTCTCTATGCACTCAGGCTGAAGTGCCACAACAAATGCACCAAAGAAGCCCCACCTTGCCATTTACTGATCATACAGCGAGGCGGACGAGAATCCCTCAAAGGTATTTTTTTTTTATGTAACATTTCCTGTAAAGCTTAAGTCACATTTTAATCAACATTCATGGTAAAATTGTTATGAGAAAATTTTAAGCTGTGAGTCAGACATTCAGTATAAGGCCAGCATTAAATACACAAGGGAGGCAAGGAAAATTGGACTCAAGGACAGTAATTTCAAAATAAAACAGGAAATAATAAATACATAGTGTTGAGTTTCTAACTTTATGTAACTACAACAACGATAATAATAACGATAATGTCAAATTTCAAAGAACAAAAAAGTCTGGAGAAACTGTTTTTTTCCCTGTAAATTTCATCCAGGTGCATGATGGGAAATAATCTTAAAGGAGGTCGTGACTCTGCAAGATCGCCAGTCTTTACAAAATCTTAGAGTGTGAGACTAAAAGCTCTGTGACTAATGAAACACTGTCTTTAGATGTGAGCGGGCGTCAGACTTGAATCTTTTAAAAGTCCTATAAAAGTTAATCAGTGGACTAGGACCAGAACTAGATTTCAAGATTTTAAAAACCCCGCTGCTTCCTGCTTTCTGCCCTCATGATTATTCATATACTTGTGTATCTGAGTCCTTAGAACTACTGAAGACACTTTTAGTCAAGTCCCCATTTTAAAAAATGAACGAGCCTCTGCTGGTTTAAGCAGATAAAAAAGTTATCTGCTGATTAATTAAGCCACTTAGGTTTGACAAATGTGATTACGTCATGCACTGTTTGCACTGACAGAGGCAGCACTGAAAAAATTCACATTATCTTCTATCACAATTGAGATTTTTTTTTGTCCTTTCTCTGCCCCCCCCTCCCTTTCTCCCCCTAATAAGATCACCAAGGAACGACTCAAGGTAAAGAACACTAATTAGACTTCTTCTATCCGACTTTAGTAAGCAAGAGTGACAATTTCTTAATGACAGTTTGCTTAATGAAAGTTTTTTTTTAACAAAGTGTCTGTATGCGATAACAAATGGATGGTGTTCAAGAAAGGGCATTTTGTTCATTTTTCACATTAGAAGCAGGACCTGATAACGAGTTTTTCCCCTATTTTTTTTTTACTAAAGCTGTTAGGTGAATATTGTTTAATTTCGGTCTCCCACACTGTATCATTGTTCCTCTGTGCTTCTTTTGTGTAGTCGCTCGTCTGGTACGGACTGAATCAGTGCCATGTGACATCAACAACCCGCTCAGGTACACAGACCTGCACATCAGTCAGACGCTCCCCAAAACCAACAAAATCAACAAGGTAAGCGTAAAAAATAACCTGTGTATTATAATTTGTTTGTAACCTGTCCTACATATCACATTCCTTCCATTTTTGAGGGGCGGGAAAATGGTTATGAGTCATGCAGTCTTTCCCAGGGGATCAGGAAACCGTACGAAAATATCTTCAGCGGTATTGATGTTTACACAGATGGATTTGTGTTCATACAATGAATATTTTCCAGCCAGCACACCTAACAATTTCTGCTCCGTTCCAGAGGAAAAAAAAGTTTGCTGGTAATACTGTGATGGAAATCCGGTGTGTGTTAAGAAAGTGAACCTGTCATTGTGAGAACTTTGCAATTGCAAAACTTTTGTGTTTTGTGTTTCCTTCAAAAAATATTGGTAACGGATAATGAGATCATGTGGAAATGATGATAACAGATCATTTTTTATACTTCAGCCTTGTTGTTAATTTCTGTCATATCAGACTGTCATGATGGAACTCGTGGAGATTGTTGCGACATTAGATATTTCCCATGGGAGGATAAATGAACAGGAGTGAATGTACGTATTCCTGCATGTGAAAGCAAAGGTAACGCTAAAGTACAACCTGACACAGGATAAAACTTATTCTCTGAGGTTTTAACAGATTTGTGCAGTTGATCCGTCTTTGAGTAGCTGCAGGATGGTTTAGAAAAATTGAAGAGAATGAATTGGAAGGACAAAGTCCCTGACAAGAAGAACCCACCCCTGTGGGTGATGTATAATGTCCTGTCCAACCACTCCTCCAACCTAAACACGATATAGGTTGTTTTGTCCCTACCGTCAGATACGATCTGGAAGAGCGTACCACCGCCAGGCGTACTGGAAACTTGGTTTGGTTTAGACACAAAAACAACTTGATTAGAGTTAAAATAACCACTTCCATAAGGTAAGAGGCCATTTGTCGTCATGGTTACTGTAATAAATGCGGTTAAGGTTGTGGAGTGGTCATGGATAAAAGAAATAACGTTGACTGTGTGTATGAAATGGGAAATGAGCAGCGGTCTCCCGTGTGTTTGGTCGACCCGTCCATCCGCCCCGACCTCCTCCTCCTCACGTGAACTTTGTCGCTCTTTATAGTTCGTCGCATGATTTCCTCCTTTGCTTCCCTCATAATAACTACGGCCTCTACAGTCACCTCACAATATAACGTAACTATGTGTCGTAATACGCTCCTTGTACAGACGACCAATGGAGTCATTTTATAATGTCTTAATTCAATGAAGTACTTTTACATGACTACTAATTCAAACTAAATTGCATGACTATAGGAGAACCTGAATGTGTGTATGCATGTTCAAATACAACGCAAAAATTGAAATCCTTGTTCTGAAATTATGAGAAAAAAATTACTAGTCCAAGGTTATAAAAGACTTTATTATATTCATATTTAACAAATATGCCCAGTTTTAACCTGAAATCCTTTAAACTGACTATGAAAAAAAATTATTGACTATAACTCAAAATATAATCCACTTAACTTCTGCTTTTACTGATGTCAGTAAACTTTCAACACTCACAGAACTCATTGACTTTTGTGTTTTACTTTTTGCTGTCTGGTGCTTGTACGTGTACGGCGGACCTGTCAATCACTGCTGCTGTGATAGCAGGTTCTAATCCTGGGTTTTGATCTTACTTCAATGAACCTGAAACTAAAGAGTGTGCTTCAACTGTTATTAAAAAAGTAGATTCAAAAGTATCCGAGGTTCTTTTTGAACTGGGACACACTTTAGTTAGGGCACAGTCTCTCGCTTAAACCCCTGCTGATACACAGAAGAGACGGGTAACACATCAAGCAAATAGAAAAGGAAAGATATTTTATAGATTTCTTTTTGGCTACATTCATAGTCAAGTCCACACATTCACAAGTAAGATAGTGTTATTGCCGTTAGCTGTTTATCACACTCACTTAAATCCTTTGGACTGAATGTGTGATTGTTTAAAAGGACATGGAAGAGATGAGAATAAGCACAAATATCAGCTTCTCAACCTGAGCTGTCTGTTTATTTGTGCAGATAAGTTTGATTGTAGAGTTGGTTGTGCACCAGTTTCTCCTCATTCATTACAAATTGCATATATTTTGCATCATTTCAGACCATTTCTCAAAGCATACCCTAAATCTTTAGATGGATTTCCCTCCTCCCACTGCGCCCATTGATTTCCCTTCACTTCAGTGGGCTCCAAAAGTCAACTAGCACAGGCTTGAAAGTTGCTTGAGGAACATCATCCATCAAACTGAAGCATTGGCTGTCTTTATGTTTTGTCAGTAACGTTATCATCACGTTGCAGTTAAGTTCTGAAACCTTTAACTGCTGGTGCATTCAAGGATGCTCTGACATCTGAGATTTAAGAGTTCGATTTCTTTTTTTCTTTTTTTTTGCTTACTCTTATATTAAATTTTCAGACTATGTAATTAATAAAGTGTTTTTCATCAGAGTCAGTGCAACCAGGAGAGACTTACTGAAAAAAAGTGATTATTTACGAGTTATTACTGAAAAGTGGTGCACAAACAGGCTTTGGTTCATCAGACTCCATTATGAAATCATTGTATTTAGCCAGTATTAGAATTAAAATTGGATGGAGTCTAGACAGTGGTCATGACGTAGATCTAAAATGAGTTTGAAAACAAAACAACATCCTCTAGAAGTTAAGTGAACTGAACAGATGTGACCTGGAGCAAGATTTCTGAGAAACTGGAGTGGACCTTGACTTCACTGACAGTCTTTGGCTGCCTGTGATGAATGTGGGAAGTGGAGGTGACAAACGCAGCCCAAAGAGGAACTGCTTTACATTCTCCCAGTTAAAACTTTATTAATTACCTGCGGTCTTGGTGAGATCAGATAAGTGAACATCTGGAAGTCAGCTGATTGAGTGAAATATGCAGAGTGGATGTGAGCAATTTTCATTATACAATTTTAGTTAATCTTATTTTCCTGCATGTTGGCGAATCCTTGAATGCACCACTGTGGATATGTTTTGACAATGCTTCCTGTTTACACCTGCAGCCCTACACAATAATAACATAACTAAGGCAGCATATTGCTCATTGTGATGGATTGCCTCTGTCAGGCAAGTTTTCAAGTCTTTGCAAAATGAAATTAATGAAAACCAAGTGCTGCCTGGAAGGTAGGAAATCAATCTAGAAATTTGGCAGTAAGAATCAGAGAAAGGCGAACAATAAAGTAAAGCGTTCAAGTATTTTTGTGATTAACAGACGGAAACTTGCAAAATCACAAAGGCATGTTGACCCTCTCTTTTCCGTCTCTTCTCAGGATCACATCCCAGTCCCATACCAACCAGACTCCAGCAGTAATCCCTCGTCCACCACCTCCTCCACCCCGTCCTCTCCGGCTCCTCCCCTGCCCAGCAGTGCCACGCCCCCCTCGCCACTGCACCCCTCCCCACAGTCAGCGAGGCAACAGAAGCAGTTCAACTTGACAGGTATTCGAATGTCCTGACTTCACTCAAATGTAACAGGCGGTATAAGGTTCATCATGTTTATCTTCTTAGTTTAACATTTTAGCATGCTAACATTTGCTAATTAGCACAAAAGACCAATTATAGTCCAGGCTGATGGAAGGTATTTGGTGAATCCAAGTATAACTGACTGACATTACCAGAGCCAAGCTGCTAGCAAGGCTAAAAACCTTGAGCAGCTTTTTATCTCATAAAACTAAACGGTCCTAGAACATGCACAACTCATGCACAACTTACATGCAACTTAATGGCATCTCTGAGTAGCCCACCTTGCTTTGACAACAGGAGGATATGGCATGCCTTGCTAAGTGTAGCAATTCTGCTAAAAGCCTGTAAACAAAGAGTGAAAACCAATTATAAACAATCAAAAGAAATTAAGAAATATCTTTGTGTGAACTTTAAATTTGTGCTGTGAAGCAGAGCCGTGTTTCATAATCCTTTCATGAACTAATTTAAGTATAAAAAAACAGCCACTTAAGCTTCTTCTTTTGTCTCTTTCTGCAGCCTCCAGTTATTTCAAATACAAACAACAATTCATCTTCCCAGGTAAGTACCTCATAATTGATCATTAGCCCCACCCATAATGCACTGCAACTAGCCCAGGATGAGGACTGAATAAGGAGTATGGACTCAAATTAGGTTCAAAAAGATTTTGATCTTATGAAGTGATGTTCACAAATAATTCCAAATTTTGTAGTTGTAAATCATCAACCTTTTTTAAACCTGTAAAATAAATCTGCATGAGAAATTCATGTGTGTACAGTTGTAGGAAAAAAAAAATATTTGTAAAAAGGAAAAAAGAAACAGTGTGAGTAAAATCTGTGAACAAACGAAATCAGTGGTGAGCTGTGAAAAAAAGAGGTGCTTTTATGAACATGTGTGTACAGATACAAGGCAGAAAACTGTGTCTTAAAACATGTGATGCTGAAGTTACCCTGCTTCTACACATGAATCTGACTAGACAATGACAATTCAATGACAAAGCAGCATCCAATCGGAGGGCAGGTGCAGCAGGTGGATGACGGGGGCGGGCTTTTCAATGACCCTGGTTTTGACCCTAATTTGAGCCCATAGAGGAGGAGGGTTCTTTTGATGTTGGTGATGATTTTCAACTCCTCATCTTGGCCTGCTTTAAGACTCTTGGCCGCGACGCCCACACATTGCTTTTCTCATTTGGGGCTTCCTAATGATTTGCCGGTGCCTAGACTCTTTGCTTTTGTCCACACTGGTACCAGTCTTTGCTCATTTGGCAGGTTATTACAGCCGAGACAACCTGAAGTGGTGTGAGGAAAAGGAATGAAATGTAATTGAGATGTGCGGGGGGCAGGACTTTCATGAATTCTCGAATGTACAGCACACAGTGGTGCCCAGGTTCTGATTATTGTAGTCACACACGCTGTGGACTATTTTTCACCTACATTACATCAGCTACCTGCATGTGCAACACGGTCAAACGCTACCATTTACTCTTAATCCCAGCAATTTAAAACCATTATGCTGTAAGCGGAGCTAATGCTGCGTTCATGTCAAATTAAATTTACTGTAAATGCTGGCACTTGTTTAGGAAAGAAAACAAACAAACAAACAAACATTTCCATCAGCCAACAGTATGATTTAACATAGTGTCTGTTTTTGGTGTCACATTGGAGTCGAGCATATCCCAGCTTACATTTTTGGTTGAAAGCAGCAATAAGCTTCAAAAGTTGTCAGTCTGTAACAGGGATGACAGACATAGCTGTGTATGACTGTCTCAGATTCACACCACTGGATGATTCGGAGCCTCCAGTCCTCCTGGATCGCTGGTCTTTGGAGTAAATCCATGCAAACATCCATGCAGGCTCCACACAGGAAACAAAACCATGGGTCCTCCTTGCTGTGAGGCAACCGTGCCAGCTGCTAATGCACCGTGCTACAAAGGGAATGTTTTCTGTGGCTCCCACTTTGTGTCACAAATTGTCAGAATGTGCCAACAGAGGCGGCAAGCGTGCACTGCGAATCCTGTGATTTCTTTCAGAGGTGGATGCAATGCAACAGCTGACCTTACTCTACCGTTCATGTTGAACAGGCGGTTGCTTCCAAAGAGGAGCATTCAAGAGAATTCAACCTACTCTTCCTCCACAATATGACTTTGCAGCATATGCTGTACGCCCTGTCATGGTGATCAAATTAAATGTATTTCACATACTTTAAAAGACACACTGTGAAGGCGCAGCGCAGTGATAACACATTGCACATATATCAACACATTATCTCCCCACTCCACAGAGCGTGCCACTGTTCCCACCATGGGGACATCTTCTAAGCTGATTTATACAAAAGGAAAAAAGAAAAAGCCGTTGAATGTGGTTTAGAGAATGTAAATCTGTCTTTGCTTCAGTCATACACACGAGGTGCAGAGGGAAACAAGTGTTGAATTCATGCGCACTGTCAGTCACGGTCCCTCGTCAGGCATTCAATGCACAATATATCGTCAGTGTATCATTATATGGTGGATTTGATGCCTGACAAATACTCACAAAAAAAAGAAACTGACCGTGTGTGGGAATTGATTACTTGCCTTTGCTGCTGTCAAGCCAGCAAAAAAGATATGTTGTCGTTGATTCAACCATACAAAGAGCAACCATGAACAATCAATTTTGATAACAAGCAAATCAGAAGTATTTACGCTAGCCTCTAATCTCTTTCCTCTGAACTCTTGAACCCCAGTACATATACAAAAATACTATATACAAGATATATATATATATATATATATATACATATATATACATACAAGAACTTTTTGTTCTCATTTGAACAAAAAACGCAAACTTGGGACGAGGTAACGTTCATAAAAAAGTATGTTCTGTGAATGAAATAAAATCCATGTGAAGGTTTGAAAAAGTTACAGACTATAGGATTTTTAAAGTATTCTTGATTGGTTTGTAGTATCCAATTAAATGTCTTCATTAGCATATCTAATAGCATCAGAAACCTGTAGGAGAAAACACAACAGCCCAAGCTCGACAACTCAAAGTTTGTATCTCTGTAGCCGCCATAGGGAGAAACTGTTCAGTAGCTACCCCTTAATGCAGAACTAGAAATCCAGTTTAAGATGAAGATACATCTGTCCAACCTACACCTGATACCTTCTTCTTCTTCTTCTTTTCTAAAACACTAAAAGCAAAACAAACAATGTTTAGGAATAGACACTGAATGCAACTTTGTTCTGATGTGTTGGTTTGATATTTTGTTTGTGATTAATATCTCCAGATGTTGCTCCGGAGGCTCCTCCCAGCAGAGCACCGCAGGTCATCCTGCACCCTGTCCTGTCTGAACCAGGGTGAGTAGAATCTATTGCAGGAGGAATTCAATAAACCCACATGGCCACATTTAAAGAAATTAGGAAAAGTGCCCCTCTGAACTTCATCAGATCCATCATCCTCTTTCAGTTATCTCCCTCTCATCTGCATGCTCTCTCTTCTCCTCCTCCTACTCCTCCTTCTCTCTTTCTCTCCGTGTGCCGCTGGTCAGGGGCCGAGTCAAATTTATTGGAGCACGGATATTTGGGTGACAATTTCAATGCGAGGGCCCACATGACGAGCACTCGGAGACTGATGTTAGCATGGCCTTTAGTTCATGCTACACTTGGGATGCCAACTGGATTTCCACTGGCTCTTTGAGGAAGCCAGTGGTCACGGGAAAACAGCCGGAAGAGGAGGAGGAATGATGAGATGCCTTTCGACCCAGATGTTAATTAGATTAGGATCTCAATCTATCACAAGAAACAGGGCAAAGGAACCTCATTCTACAAGCGGATGGTCAATTGTGATGAAATATGGACCGTACCCATGGATTGTTAATGGATTAATCAATAGCAAATAATGCCACAGTTAATTTTATTTTGGAAATATCAACACAGTCTTGAAAAAGGTTCCCAGGCAGAGAAAGACAAAGGGTACGAGTTAAGAGTCTAAATGAAGGTAAAGGACACGGGGCTGCAAATGTTAGTGATGTATTTGAATTTAATATAAGCTGTTTTTGATATCTTCGTGCCACAGTGCCGTTAGCAGCTGCCGGCTTTGAGATAAAAAAATGTAAAGCAATGTGTGAGAATAATAAAAATCAGAAGAAACAACAAATGACAATAAACATACATCACAGTTGGCTCAATTTATGTTTGAATAGAAGGGGATTGTCTGATGACTACTGGCACATTCATTACCATAATAATTATCATGAGACAAAGATTATTTTCTGTACGTTCAGATTATATTCAGCTATTGAACTGCAGAGCTCGACTGCCGGTTTCGCACAGGGTGAGACAAATGCAATGGAGGAATTTTATTTTTTTTTTAAAGCAGCAAAGCAGGAGAGATGATCAGGCGGAGACAGGTTGGTCTCTGTAGACACACACTGCGGCTGATTGTGAATGAGCTGCAGCTGTGTGGGCAGGCAATCTCTCAGGCAAGCAAACTCAGTGAAGACAAGATGGTCATTTTCATGGGGATGTAACTGACCCTTGTACAAATATATTAATTTATGTATATTAAATTTATGTGTATAAAAAAAAAAAAACAGCTGTTCATGGTCCAGATTTGCATATCTTGTAAAATCTGTGCAGTTCGCCATTAAAACAACTACTCTGTCGTCAAGCATTCGACAATTACAACTCCCATGTGGCTTTGACAGACTTCTTTTTTTACAGTCGGTACGGGAGTGGACTCAATGTCCATTTAGCTACAAAATCATTTGGATATCTTTGAAGGGCCATGTTTTATCTTTTTAAAAGATCAAAGAAAGAAAAAAAACATCTATCAGGCATCAGTTTTCAGATCAACGGTAAAAATGAAAATGAAGTGGTGTCTATTCCAGTAAGTGCTAATTTGCCAATAAGTAGAGATGCGTCAGAAAGGACCAAAATACCTCCAAACAGTTTGATTAGCAAAGTATTAGAAACAACATGAAAACATTTGACTCTAAAGACCAAATACCATTGATTACAAACTAATCAGTGACCACTCGTTTTCCAGGGTTGTTAAGGTAAGTGGGAGTGAAAATAGTGTAGACTATGATAAAGCCTTGAGTGCAGGTTTCTGGTCACTGAGTTTCTGGAAAGTCAAGGAAAGTCAAAGAAAATTACGTACTGATAAACTCTCTTGGGAACAATGAGATTTCTTTTCAAATTTTTATTCACTATTCACTATTCAAGGATGTACAAGGCTTATACTGTATAGTTTCGCCATGCATCCAAAACATGGTAGTTTAAACCCAAAACATCACAGAAACATATTTCCTCATCTCCTTAGAAAATGATTTTTTGGTGATTTTAGGTCTCACCGTCAGTAAGTTATAAAGAGTCATGAAACTGTTGCGGGAAATAGAGAGATGTTCTTGAGCACTGAGATACTGTATATATCTCCACTGGGATCACTCAGTAACAGCACTACATTATTGGCTTCTCAAGAGCTGAGGAGATATACCTAAACAGCCATCCATGCATCCATCCATGCAGCCATCCATCCATCCATCCATGCATCCATGCATCCATCCATCCATCCATCCATCCATCCATCCATCCATCCATCCATCCATGCATCCATGCATCCATGCATCCATGCACCCATCCATCCATCCATCCATCCATGCATCCATGCACCCATCCATATGCATTCAGCTGAATTTAAAAAACAAAAAGAGATAATGAAGAAACCTCTTGAAAAAGGGGTGAGAATATACATAAAAAAACATCTTACACCTTTGCACCTTTAACCATCTACTCATTAGTATTTCTGTAGATGGACAATTTTACTATTTCACGATTTCTCCTTTTGTCATTCTCACAGTCTCTCTCTCTTCGTGAATACATGAGCGCGGTTGTGAAACCCATGTTCTTCTGATTTAATTAATGCTATTGTCCCTCCTTTCCCACATCTTTGTATGCTCTTGCAGTGGCAGCTGGCAGATTTCTCTGGCCTTAATGGCCTCATCCCAGGGTTAATGAGGGCCTGTCTCAGACCCCAGCACCCGGTTGGATCCCCTCATTAGAGCAGAGATCGAACCGGTGGTAGGGGCCCTTGGCGCCACAGGAATCACATATTATTTTATATGCTGCCTCACCTGTGGTCTTTTCCCAGAGTCCAGGATTGCTTTGCGAACCAGTGTTAATATACCACAGAAAGGTTGTGAGAGGTTACACGCTGGTGTTACACAGCCAGCTATGTGGACGGAGGAGGATGGGTTGAAGAGGGGAAGCAGGTTCCTTTTGTGTCGTGCCATTGGCACCCACGGTGTAGGTGGCAGTGTACATGCCGGGGTCAAAAATTAATAGGGACTGAGGGCGCAAATGCACTTGAAAGTTCATAAAATGACCGTGAAATTAAAAAATAGGGTCAGAAAATGCCAGCAGTAATTAGGAGTGCCTTTTCTTACATTTCATCCTGTTCACACTTTATTCATTTATCTGTCAAACAGTCTTGGTTTAATGTGCTTTTTCCACCTGTGGGCCACTGCAGCTGATCTCCAGCATAAAAGCCTGTGGTCCAGTAATTATTTCCAGTGTTATTTGAAAATACCAACCACAGCCTGTTTGAGTAGAATACTACCTAAGAAAATGTCAACTGATTCAACAAAAAAAAAACAGGATAAACAAGAGTGATGAAATTTAAAAAACGTATCTACAAATAAAGGCTGGAAGATAGATTACTTGGAAACAAAGCGGTAACATTTAACTATCAGCTTCTGTCGCCAGTGTGCAACGTTAGGAAAATAATGTTGGTGTGTTATGATTCAAAATAAATGTGTGTATGTGTTTGTGTGTAAAATCCAACCCTAAAGCTGAGATCAAGATATTTTTCTTTGCAGCTTTATTGCAGTGTGTAAAAATGCTCTGGTGCACCCAACATCCAACAAACAGTTCAGTCCCAAGTTCGAGCAGTGCTTACAGACTCAGGGTTCAATCAATGGGTCAATTAAGCTGAGAAGGCAGCTATCATACATACATTGTTCCATACATTAAAACTTGATAAATTCCATTTTAAATGATAAAACTCCACACCTGTTCACTGAATTGATGTTCCCAAAAAGTTTTATTGGATATAGGCCAGCCATGATATTACATCTCCCATCAGGTTTCTCAGCATGAGACCAAGTCCACAAACAAACAGACTTGCCCTGACTGAACCCAGGTGTGGGCTCCAGGTCAAGTTCTATCACTATGGAAACAGAGTATGAGTTAAATTATCAGCCAAGAGAATCCAATATAATAAATTTATATTACTCATAAAAATGTTACTTAAAAGATCTGTAGGTTTAATAGTAGTTTAATAGTATATGCCAACACGTAGGAAAGGTATTTCAATCACTCAAAGACAATAAAGGTCAAGAAATAAACAATAATAAGTCCACAAGTAAGCAACTTACATCAAGCAGAAATCTTTTTTTGGAGGCATCAGTAAAGACTGCAACACTATCAGAATGGTGGAGATCAAAAAATGGATCATTCACACTTTATTAGAGCAATAAAGAACCAAAACACTGTTTGAAAACCTGATCACTGGAGCAAAAAATTAAAAAAAGAAAGTGTAGGCTCATCAGTTTTGTGTGAAAAGAGACCTGCTTTATCTTCACTGTTTTTCTAATAGATTCATTTCTGCATCTATTCTTCTTGCTTTTAGGAACGAGGGCAACCCTTTACTTCAAATCGAAGTTGAACCTACATCAGATGTGAGTCCTTCTTTTAATCTCTCGAGTGACGATTTGAATGCATGTGAATGTCAGTTTTTTTTTTTTTACATTCACTAACTACGTTGTTTTCGCTTTTATCAGCGTGAAATTACTTGCGAATCCCAATGAAGACAAAATGGCTTTCGCTGTCACTTGTCACAGTCATTTGCATTGTTCTCTCATTTAACATAATTTGGCTCAGCTCTCCGAGGAGCCTCCAGGTAAAGTTATGCGTCAAACGCGGCAAGAAGGAAAAGACGCAGCTTCACAGATCGGCCATCGCTGTTGCTGTAACAGTGATGTATTCTCAGAAAATGTGATGCATATTGCCTCGAATAATAATCCAGCAGGCGTCTTTGAATAGGTCATTTTCACTTCTGCAGTGCATTATATTTAAAATCAAATCAGAATAAATCAGACACTTTCTACCCCTGGCTGCTTTCCGTTTTCGTAACTCTGTATTTTAGGTGGTAATGGCCCAAACAGCAGTCTGTAAAATTCTAATGCACACAGCTTCACAGAAATATGTGTGACTTTATATAGAGGCAACATATAAGTATATTTTTATTTTGTATATTTTTTTAAACATATGTCAGAACGTATTAATAGTTCTGACTACATCTTTATTGATGAGCTTTAAATACATTAATTTATGGAGTATATGCAACTTATCTTAACTTTGGAGGTCAAGTAAAGATATTGAATATGTACATTTGCAATGTATAAAAATGACATGACACCACACCACAAGGCATTACAGTTGACAGATACACAACTGTTTGCACTACATGAAGATCTTTTCTTACTGAAACTCCTACTTCATATGGATTGGAGGAGGTTTAAGCAGATTATAATCCTCAGGCTGCTGAATGCCAGAAAAGAAGAATTTGACATCTTGGTAGAATATTTTGACATCACTCTTTGAGTTGTATAAGAGTAATTTTAATCACCAAAGTTGTAAATCTGTGTAAATATGAAATGTAGCCCCACAGCTCCAGAAAGAACAGTTCATTTTATCTCAACACAGAATGAGGAGGGCAACGACGAGGACTCCGGCGATGAGTTCGAGGAGATGAACCTGTCACTCCTGTCGGCCCGTAACTTCCCGCGCAAGGCCAGCCAGACCAGCATCTTCCTGCAGGAGTGGGACATCCCGTTCGAGCAGCTGGAGATCGGCGAGATGATCGGTAAGGGACGCTTCGGCAAGGTTTTCCACGGACGCTGGCACGGCGAGGTCGCCATCCGCCTGATCGACATCGAGCGCGACAACGAGGACCAGCTGAAGGCCTTCAAGCGCGAGGTGATGGCCTACCGCAACACTCGCCACGAGAATGTGGTGCTGTTCATGGGGGCCTGCATGAGTCCACCACATCTGGCCATTATCACCAGGTAAAGATTATTTAGTACTGTGTATATTGTCCTCTAATCCATCGTATTCTGTTTTTGCAGGTAGTTTGTAAGAAATCAACATACAATTGAAAACACTGTGAACAAAGGGAAAACTAAATGATAAGATTTAATACTGTCTCACACCAGTGTGCAATAGTGTCCATCAATTTCTTCTGAGTATACTTAATACTTTACATACTCAAAACCTGCTTATGTAGTATGGCATTGGGACGCAGCTTTAGCTTTGAAGCGTTCGCTGCAGAGTGCACAAAAACCACACAAAAACATGAGAGCAAATATAATGTAAAGGCCCAGTTAAAGCAAATATAACCATTACTAAATTTAAAGCATTAACTGCAGTTATAAAAAAACATTATATTGTGAGTTTAAAGGTAATGCAGGAATATGAATAAAAGTGTCCATAGGAAAAGCTTCATGTGGAATCTGTCCAGTATCAGGGTGAATATCCTGTAAGAATGTATTAAAAGACATGTAAGTATAGTTATTTCTAAATATATTTGGATAGTTGGATTTAATTTTTACATTGCATCTGATTATTGCCACCATAATTAGTATAAACAACACTGAAATCTTGAAAAATATCAGTACACCAACAGTATGAAATACTGTAATCCAAATAAAAATAATAAAGAACATATTTGAAATTCATAAAATTGTGTAAAAATGAATAATTTAACCTAATGTAGAGCTGTATGATATCATGTGCAAATGTGGATGAATCTGGAGGTTATCACAACTTTGTGTTTTGTCAACACCATAAACCATAAAGAAAAGTATGGATTCATCCAAAGCATTGAAACTGTTTATGACCGAAACAGCCAGTGTCAGCCAAAATTTAGCAAAGATTTCCACATAGGTAATTAGGTATTCCAAACTAAGAGAAAAGGCAGGAAAAATATGCAGAATAAACAAAAGAACACGTTGCTCACTCATTTCCCGCTGACCACTGACTCTCCTGAAAGTTGACATCAAACCTCTGGACTCTCTGTGGTTACTCTGTGGGTCGGCAGTTGCTCGACCTCCAGATCCAGTCTTTGTCCCCTGGGAGTCATTTTAAATCAACCACAGATCTGTGCCCCTCACTCGCCTCTGGGACAATGAGTTTAGAGCGGCTGACAATGAAGCATGCAGAGGTTATGATTAGAACAGGCCGCCGCTGTTGTTGAATGAATGGATGAACCACCCACACCTCACAGCAATATTGTATCTGTCTTGACTACAGCCGATGACAGCAGATAATACAAGTGTACAGGGTCACAGCGAACTTGCACGAACAACTTTAATTATTTCATGGATTAGTGCGCAGATTTTTTTTGCAGCGAGTATTTTCTCAGTTATAACAAGAAAGACGAGGCTGTGTTCCTGTTAAGGACCATCACAAAGAATACTCTCTTGTTTAATTAACTGGCACAGCTAATAATGTTCAAAAGGAACTTGTTCGGATATTTGCCACTCTCCCACTGTCATGTACACAGGCTGTGAACAAAGAGGGAAGTCTCAGTAAAATAATAATTTACTCTTTTGTTTCCTCTCTTTTCGAATAAATTAACTTGTTTTTCTTTTATTCTCTATTAAGAAGGAAAAGAAAGAAAGTGAGGGATTTCCATCATGAATTCACAGCTTCAAAAACGCGTCAGGAAACAAAGCTAATGTACTCCATTCCCATCACATTCACAGTGGTGGTAAATTTGTTGTAAATAACTGATTGACTGAATGATTGACTGATTGATTGGAGTGGTTGATTGCAATAGATGCCAGCTGAAATTGTGCGTGCAGGGGAGCTGACGGCTTCTCAGAAATCCTTCCTGCTGATTGATGAAAATAATAGCAAATGTCAGTGCAACAGGTGGCTTTGTTATCCACCAATACTCTGTTTCTTATATTACAGTCATACAAGAAGGGAAATAAAGTAAAAAAAAAAAAAAAAAAATTGAAGTAAAACATGTGTTCATTATCATACTCTTGAAGCCCAAAGTGCAACATGACAAACCTTTAAAATGAGAACGTATAGGTTTATTAAGGATGAGGGTTTTTAGGCCGCATTAGTGGAAATAATAAATATTGATTGTTTCTTTTTTCTTCGATTATTTAATTTGTCACAAGTGACTGTGGATTGATTTTCGCTGAGTATACAGAAGACAGGGTTGTCTGTCGGGCTGGGTTTTTTATACATGTACATAGGTGTAAGTTGTGTTTGAACATTGAGGGGGAATTAAGTGTTCCCTTGGAAATTTGGAGCATCAAACACTTCATTTCCTTCATATTGGTGATTTTTTTAATGCACCGATTTGTACCTTTAATTTATGCTGTAAATGTTTTCATTTTTGTGTTTGGACGCTGGATTAGCTTGTCTACTGCTAACTTAGCTTGCTAGCAAACATCTCCTCATTGGCAACATTACCTTTAGAGTAGTTAGCAAACTGGCAAACACTGCTTCCAAAAATAAAATCCCAAAAACATAACCCAGTGGTGCACAACTGGTGGTGGTTTTGAGACTTTTTTGAACAATTTTTTTTCTCCTCCTCCAGAGTTAAACCTGAGAGGTTGAGACCCCTGACTGAGATCACAACACTGAGTGCGTGTGTGCGTGCGTGCATGTGTGTGTGCGTGCGTGCGTGCGTGTGTGCATGTGTGTGTGTGTGTGTGTGATTCATATTCATATATTCATATTTTGGGAGTAAAAAAAGTCTCAGTTATGAAAAAAAAAAGAACTGCCCCATCTTGTTGCATCTATGTGTAACATTGCAGCGTTTTTTATTGGTGGGGGGAGCAAATGCACATATCCTAAATATTGAGGGGAGTGTGTCCCCTGCATCCCCTTGAAATCTACGCCTATGTAAATGTATATGGCACAATTACAGGTGACTTTTAGCTTTTCACAATCTTGAACTCCATGAAACGCAGCCTCTTTCTCTCTATAGCGCAGCTTATACACAGTCTGTTTGTCTGCGGTACAGAGGTAATTGTTGTCATGGGATGTTTCTTATGTAAAGGTTTCAACTGATGTGACTCTAAAGCCATAAGCTGCATCTCTGTGTTGAAAAGACCCAGAGGGAGGAGAGCTACTAAAAATGCGGCTGCTGTCAAGCGGTTGTTAGGAATGAATATGCATGAACTGTTGGCTTCAGGTCCTTTGTTGGTCACCTGCATGGCACAGTCAGGGTTGAGGGCTTTAGGTGTGAGGCAGGGGGTGGTTGTAGAGCTGTCTATTAATGCGCCGTCGTGATGGCACCCCTCCAGAAATATGACACCGCCTCCACGAACCGCAGTGTAACAGCTTCCCCCTGGCACCTGTGTATTATTGGGCCCATGTTTCAGTTGAGAATGATGACATTTTATCCTCTAACAACATCTCAAACTGCACTAACTCACTGACACAGTCCTGCACCTGTGAACTAAAAGTGGCAAAAACACATCGAACGTTTTAACAGATGAGTGGTTTGATGAAGTGAGTGGAGGAATGTGTGAAGATAGAGGGTCACCGAGAGTGTTTGAAAAGCTAAAACACTGAATACTGTGGAAGTTTACTCTGAAACCAGGAGCGGTTTACTTAGAAATTTGGTAATATTTTGTTTTTTTGTATTTGTACGTGGGTGGGAACCGAGAAACTGTACTAGAGACAAGATGGTGAAAAATCTGAAAGTTATCGTGGCATCATTAGAGGCATTCTTGCATTGTTATGCTGGGTTTACATCATATTGTACAGACAGTAAAAACATCAACCTCCTAGCTGTAAGGTTTTCTGACTGCTACGATATCTCCCACTTGCCGGAAAGAGTCCACAAATTGATGCTACAGTGGCAACAAACAACACTGCTAACAGTTCAGTGTAAATGAAACACCAATACAATTGATTTAGCAAATTTAAATTGATCTATGCAGCCTTAACAGCATGTTCCTCTGGTTTAATATGTTAACATATTGCTACACCCATGTGTAACTTAAGAACAGAGGCTAATTTAAACCTCATTTCTAAATGAAGGGTGTGGTAACGATGTTGAAACAATGGGTGAGTGTTGTTAGTGGGGCTTTCTCCTTCCCGCCATTCGTCCGACATGCCTGCATTCGAAAAACAGATAAATTACCTTGCTGAAGTTAATTTGCATAACACCTTCCAACAACAAGGCAAACAATGTGCTATACATAAGGCATTAAAAAATGCCTCATGACAAGATATAAAAAGAAACACAAGGCAATATAAAAAAAGAATGAATATGAATAGGATTTAAAATAAAATAGGGGCTAAAACTAAGTTAAAATTGAATGAAACAAAAATGAAAAGAAGAATTTAGATTACAGTGCCGTCACAGTGCAGTGTGAGATATGAACGGGTTGTCCCACATTGAAAGTGTTAAAGGCGGCGAAAGAAAAAAGCTTTAAGCAACATTCAAGCTCAAATTGATGCTGCTCCGTATTTAATTTTCTAGGATGGTACCAGTCACCACCTATTCATTTGGCAACATGTGGGGAATGAGAAAATTACTAGACAAATGATGAAATATAATGATGATAAATGATGATAAGGGATCACCATGTTTTGATCAGCTGGCTTTCGTCTGTAAAATTTGCTATATTTTGGGTAGTCTCTCCTGTAATGAGTCTGAAATGAAGTTAAGAAAATTATTATATTTTTCAACACAGTCACTTAAAATCCTGTCTTTGTTGTTTTTTTTTTCCTTCTCTCAGCTTGTGTAAAGGAAGGACACTTTATTCTGTGGTGCGGGACGCCAAGGTTGTGCTGGATGTTAACAAGACCCGACAGATCGCACAAGAGATGGTCAAGGTAAAACAACTCAACGCTGACTCTCCTGAACACCTCAGCAGTGCACATCATATTACAGAACAGTCACATCGCTCTCTGTCCTCAGGGGATGGGCTACCTCCACGCTAAGGGGATCTTACACAAAGACATGAAGTCCAAGAACGTATTTTATGACAATGGCAAAGTCGTCATCACCGATTTTGGGCTCTTCACCATATCTGGGGTGCTGCAGGCTGGCAGGTAATTATGTTCAATGCACATCAGAGACAGGAGCAATGTTTCTCACCATGTGCAATGCAGGAGTTTTTCTTTGAAACTGACATTATTGTATGTAACAGTATTGACACAAATGGTACAGGGACAACAAAATTCAGTGGATGTAGCTAGTGGATACTCTACATATTTACAAAAAGACAATATGTCAGTAATGCAATAATTCTTTGCGACAGCCAGCTTTTTTAACACCAGTTTGTTGTAACTATAGCACTAAACAAAAAAAAGCTCGGAGTCTCTCGCTGAATATCTGCTTTGTTGCTTTATGGACTTTGAAAAAATAATTTAACTAATACAAATGTTTACAATTTTTTAACCACACAGTTTTTATCAGCTTTTCTGCTTATTCACACTTGTCAGTTATTGTTAGTGGTCCCTATTTTTGACTGGACCGTAACAATAAACGTGAATATCGCTGACTGACTGAGTGATGAAGTTACACTATTGCCAGAACGGTTTTCTGTCAGAAAGGCAACCTAACCCAGGTAGTTTTGGTGTCTACACCTAACCAAACAGCGACTGGAAACGTGAAAAAGAACAGAAAATAATAAGTTAACAAAGTCAAAAATCAAGCAGGACATGAACCCCAGTCTCCTGGGTGAAAGTCGTATGTTTGACCCATCCATTCACCACAACAGTCTCCTGTGAATGCAGTCTTTGTCCGTTATACCGTCGACCTGTTGGCTGGTCGAGTGTTGAGTATTAGGTTTTTACTATTTTTACTTTCAAAATGGCAAGCAGTATTAATAACTGAGCGCTTTTGCCACTAGATTATCCAACTTTTCAGACCCCTTTAGCAACTTATTTTCAAAAGAAGCACCTAACGACAAATCTAGCAACTTCTCGGACAAACCTTAGCTACTCTCCGTAGAAAAGAATCGCCGATCTTGCCTTATGTGTTTGGTGATTTCATCAGACATCATCACTGGTTAACAAGTCTCAATGGACTGCATTTCAGTCGCTATTTCACGCTTGTTCCGTTTGTCTGACAACAGAAACAGCTTTATTGGGGATTTGGCTATATTAAAACACTGTATATGTGAGCACAGAGACTAGGAGAGAAGCAAACAGATGAAGGGCTGAAACCAGCTGACACTAGGCAGAATGCAAATAGCCTACGATGCGGTCCAGCCATATATTAGTTTCTCACCTAGTCTTGTTACCGTTATTCTTCAAAGCAACTACAGCATCAGCAGGAGGCAATTATGTAGCAACATCCCCATTTTTTGACAGGAAACAATGTGGATCATCGGTAATGAGCTATAGTGTTACATTACACTATTGAGTGGAAAAGCAAGAACTTTTGTGTGCAATAGTAAGTCTGTGCCGTACACGTAACATGCCTAATTTACACTAGTGTGTGGTCCTGCAACTTAAACTGGTGTAAATTATGTGAAAACTGTTCAGCCTCTCTTTTGTCTCTCTCTTCTGTCCATCTTTACCGTTGCCATGGAGGAAATTCCCACTTCTCCACTCAAGAACATGAACAGTGTTGAAAAGAGGTGTTCGAAAGTGGGAGAGAAGAGTAACCAGGTCAATGATGAGCAGATAAATTCTGCAGGGGCTGACAGTACAGAGTACAAACAGAAATATCATAGAAAGAAAACAGTGATCCTCTGGTAATGATCAAAACGCTATAAATTGGCTCTCACTGCGCTAACAAATAGAGTATATTTTCTGTAATTTACCATGTCATGGCTGAGCACACCAGTAATCACATATTGTATCCGCTCAAGATTGACCTCATGATGCCAAGACTTTCATCACCCTCTTCCAGTGGAGGTAGTGAGAGCTTTGTGGAAACAGAGCAGTGAGAGCAGCACAGCGAGATGTCTGAATACACCCACAACATCTACATGCAGAGATTCAGCACAGCAGGATTATATTAGCTGTGATATTTTTTCACATACATTTAGCAGAGCATTTCACAACATCAGTCTAAAATATTACAGTAGTTTACAAATCATATTGTTATTAATTAGATTTAAGTAATCTACCGTGTCCAGTCACAAAAAGTTAAGGCAGTTATTTCTAAAATAATAGTTTCATACTCTTTCTATAAATCCTGCACATTATCTTCATCTGTCTCCTGTTGCTTAATTGTAGGTACATAATGCAGAATAGTCTTATTTGCCTTCTTGGTGAGACTTAAAATGATAAGATGGATAACCACTGTCACATCTGTGCGTTAACTACGGAGCTATAGCCAAGAGTTCATCAGCGTAGCTTAGCATAATTACTGGAAACAGGGGGGGAACAGCTAGCCTGGCTCTGTCCAAATTTCAAACATACGCCTACCAGCGTCACTAAAGCTTGGTAATTAGCATGTTGTATTTTGTTTGTTTAATCCTAGGTGGTTGCCTGGCAACATCACTACAACAACAAGACTCCAGTCACTGTGCCCACCTGCAGTTTACCAAGAAATAAATACAGGATGCATATCCCAGTAAAACCAACTAGTCATTTTATTGTTTCTATTTGTGTAGCTGTTAATAAAACGTGTAGGTGGATGTGGCCACCTCCCAGACTAGCTGTGTCCCCGTTTCCAGTCTTTATGCTAAGCTAAGCTAACTGGCTGCTGGTGGTAGCCTCTTATTCTTATTTATCAATGTTGATGTTGCGGCTTTCATTGAGCTGAAATTTACTTCACGTTCAAGTATAATTCAGTGTATTGATTCTTATAAGTTGATCGTTATGTTGACGACGGGTGAGTGGTGCCTCGACACTGAATGAGCTGTTTCAACAAGTACATTGACTACTGATAACTAACATCTCCTCTTTGTAGTTCTGACTATCCAGCCTATCAACTCTGATAACATTGTATCCAACATATCAACTAACTTTTGAAGACACAGGAATATTCAACATAATATGAGTAGCCAAAAGTATGAAAATGAGATGGTAAAGAATTATTTAAAAAATAAATGTAATTCCCCTTTAAAGACCAGAATCATAGATGGATATTCCTAATTAGTCAGGGGATTAGTGTGAGTTAATGATGTCCTTGCTTGCATCTTCTTCTTCTCTTTTCATTATGGTCTTACAACTCAGCAGACTTTTATTACAGAGACATGTATCAAAGCTGATATTGTACAGTTTACCACAGACTGTGATCAAGACCCCATTTGACCCATCTTGCATTGTTATACTAGATACTGTTATGAAAATGCAGAATTGTAACATCTTTAATGGCCACTATTTCTCTTCTTGTAGCCGGAGAGAAGACAAACTGAGGATCCCCAATGGCTGGCTGTGTCACCTGGCCCCAGAAATCATCCAGCAGCTCTCTCCGGAAACAGAGGAGGACAAGCTTCCCTTCTCCAAACAGTCAGATGTCTTTGCTTTCGGGTGAGTGTTTCTGTTCTTCTGAGTGACATAGAGGGTTTACAAACCCCCAAATATATGTGTGAATTCAACAAATTCTTACTTCTATGGAGCAGTGTCCCTGAAAGTCTAGATCACATGACAAAGAGGCAACCCTCATTCACTGGTTTTCAGATCTCATTATAGATACGGATTTTCACTTCTTACTGTACAAAGACGGAGATAATGTAATAATCTGTGATATTTTAAACAACAATTTTGTTACTGTCAGACTTCAGATGTCCAAGCAATAACCATTTAATAAGAACATGATTAACAATTTCAAAAGTTAATTGCTTCAAAATTATCTGATTTTGATATATGCCCCACTACCTGATTACAGGGGCAATCCCATATTCTCAAGCCCCCCCAGGGCTGAAAAATGAGGCCAACTACGGAAGTGCCAAAAACGACAGTTCTTCCAATGGCCACTTGAGTTTGGCTCCAAAAGCGAGTACGTAAATCCCCATAGACTCCCATGTTAGAATGTCCAACTTTACAGCAGAAATATACATGTTTACAGCCCGGTACAAAAAACGGTTTTGGTCTCTATCACTAATTTTTGCTTCGTAACAACTGTATGGGGGGTGAATTTCAGTTTGAGTAACAGGTATGTGAGTGTATCCTTGCTACAAACCGGCATTCATCAAAGTCTTAGCTCCACACGCGCCCCACCTCTTTTCCCATTTTTGGATTAGCCAGTAGCTAGGTGGAATCATGCACTGCCAAGATGGCGATGGCGGAGCAGCCCACTCTGAGCTTCAAAACCGCTCTTTAGAAACCTATGGGTGATGATACGGAGGCTACGTCCATCTTTATATACAGTCTATGCTTGGCACACATCCTTTATGAATGAAGCCTTGGTTATGGTAGAAATGGTGCACAAATAAGCATCGGCAGCTGGAAGACATATCGTAGGGACTGATTGGAGGTTTGGAAGCTCAGTTGTTGAACGAATAATACAAACCAAGAGGTAGTTCTTGAAAATTAAACTGATTGGATAGTTGCAAGAAGAGGTAGAGCCAGGAGACGTCAACTGACTGATGGAGCAGGAGGAGTGAATCAATGAGTAGGGGACAAAGATGTATAGATGAAGTGGTTTCTCCCTGATTGAATCTGTGTCAGAGGATCAGTCTTATGGAGGGCTTTACTTTCGGGTTTCCCCTGCACCTGGTGTTTGGTTCGAGTGTTTACCAGATGGAGCCTCAGCTGCACAGGAGGTTCTGGAGTTTTAGATTCAGGGCAACAAAAAATCGTATCTAAGGAAAAGGATATTGCCATTGTCAGTCCCTCCTGAGCTGCACAGTTTAAGCAGAGTGCTGAAGGCTAAAGAGAGATAAACAAATGGATAACTGCAGTTGGACCAGATAATTGGTTCCTAGTGCCAAAACTTAGATACAATGGACAGTGGTTGCCATTTTGTGTCAGGCTTGTTACATTTTCAGGTGAAATCATAGCCTAGACTCCTTTTGAATCTACCAAGTGACTCCATCTTGACTGCCTTTCAACTGTCCTGGAGGCCTCATGACTTTGAGTTTGCTGACAAATTCTGATTTAAAACGGCCAAGTTCTTGTATGCCCTCAAGCTTTGTTTTGTGCTGTTCTCTAGCTGAAATAGAGTACATGCAGGTGTTAGGAAACTCAATTTCTGGCCAAACTGAAACATCCAAATCCCACTTACTGTTCAGGATATCTTATGGATCTTTGTTGATTCCTATAACCTCTACTTATAACCTTTACAAAAACACTAGGAGTGTAGCTCTTCCCATTCAGAGCAGTGATGGTGGGTTAGTTTGCCACTCAGTAGCGGTGAGGATGTTGTATGTAAAAGGATTTCTGTTACAAGCAGATATAAAATGTTACTTTTGACACATTTTGACTCAAATCATTTCACCTGTTCCTGTAGTTATTGCATACAGATCTCTGCTCTCAAACCAAGGTGTCCTCCCTCTCCTCCTTTTAAGCCTGTTTTTACATTTGTCCTAAGTTGATTAAAAATCCCCACGGCTCCTGTTCTTCCTCCACTGCCATTAGTGCTTCGTTTGTGGGCGTGGACCCTGCTCTGTTGACTCCTAACACAATTGCATTTTCAGATGGTCCCCCATATGGAGGTTTCGTCACTAAATTATTTTAAAGGGAAGAGTGCAGTGCTGGCGCACAATGTCCAGCTGCTCTGTTAGCCCTTGTGTTTCCTAGAGGTGACCCCCATGGCTGTTTTACATATTCATCAACAATTGGACGTCATTTTATCCCCCCTCCCCACTACTGACAAAAAGCTATTTTTATACTACTCAAACTTGACGTGCAGGAGGGGAATGAAAACAACCACTTATTTGCACAGGGAGGGTGAGGTATGGTAATTTTGCATGAGCAGTAATTAAAGATATGTTGTTTCTTTAACTTGAATTTCTTCAAAACTTGAGGCTCAAGGCAACACTCGTCTGTGTTTGCTTAAATAACCATCATTCTAGATCAAAGCTTATCAAAACCATTAAGTTTGAGAAAATTAGCCTGACTGTGCTAGCACTGGCCGGGATGTGAACCCTCCATAGGTGTTGTAATGTTTTGAAGACGTTAGTGTTATTCTAGGTAGTCAAAAGCACTGACCCGCTCTCTTCCTCTGTCCTCCCAGCACCATCTGGTACGAGTTACACGCACGTGAGTGGCCTTACAAAAGTCAGCCAGCGGAGGTGATCATATGGCAGATTGGCAGCGGGATGAAGCCCAACCTCGCCCAAACTGGCATGGGGAAGGAGATATCAGTAAGGCTTTTTTCTTCTTCTTGCTTCTTAATTTGTCACGTTTCACCCCTTGAATCGTAGACTCATTTTACTCAAACACGTTGTATGAACTGAAAAACTAGCTGTGCGTGATAAAGGCAATAACCAATCTGGGGCTGGATTCACAGAAGTGCTCTTTAAGTGGATCTTAATACTCAGTAACAAGGAAAGTTTTCAGAAGAATGCTCATAAGTGAATTTCAAGTTAAAAAAACTTTCTAAAGTGCACAATTAATAACTGTTTAGCCACTATTAAATAATTTTGCACGGTGGTTATAATATGCGTGGAAAATTATTTTTACCGGCTAGCATTGTAATTAAAGATAGATTAAAGTGAGATGCAGAGGTAACAAAATATGTTAGTTCAAGAACAGATTTAAGTTTATAAAAGAAACTGGCATGAAGTTGTCCTCATAAAATTACTCTTACAAAGAGTGTCAGCTTGGAGTTAGTCTTACAGACCCCCCTGTGCCTCTCCCCTGGTAGTATTGGCCTTTCCTTTCTTTGCAATGCACAGTGCAACATGGTATGAGTCCTTGGTTGCCTTCAGTTCACCTTGCTAAACTCTTCCACCCCTCTCCTCTACTCCTTGAAAAACCTCCAGTCTCTGTTCGGACTGATCTGGAGGTTTACCTGCTAATTCAGTTTGCTTAGGCTCTGAGTGGCTGCCAATCTTTGCAGCTCACACGTAAAAGGTCACAGGTCATGTTTGCAAGCATTTTTCTTTACCAATCACACACTGAGGCTGCTATGCTCGAGGTATCAAAAATAGTTTGCTTTTGTACCTGAAGTACCTTAATTGCCTCCACGTTGGTCTATTTTAGTTTATTTTATGTGCATCTTTTAATAAAAGGCCCTTTTAGAAAGTAAATCCAGGGACTAATGTTCATTATTTATTCAGTAACTATGCATTCCCTCTGATACATCTAAAGATGATAAAATGTGCCATCTAACAGCTTGGTATCTCGGTGTTTTCCAGGACATTCTGCTCCTCTGCTGGGCGTACAAGCAGGAAGAGCGGCCCAGCTTCTCCAAGCTGGTAGATTTACTGGAAAAGTTGCCAAAACGGAACCGCCGCCTTTCCCACCCAGGGCACTTCTGGAAGTCAGCTGAGTATGTCAAATGAGTTAGGGACAAAACAAAACAAGCAAACAAATCAGCAACTATTAAAAATCACCCGCCATAACTCTACATAAATAACCCACCTCTTAAAGAATGCACTGAATCCAAAAGCCAGCCCAGTGATGAAAACTGCCCGTGCTGTGTGTATTTTCATGGAATGTTGGCATGTGTGTGTACAGATAATTGACTGTCCAGCTTCTCAGAGCAGTCGGGACTCATATTTTCTTTGGTTTGATTTAAACCATACGGGATATCTTTCCTTTATCTTTTTTTTTTTTTGTCTTTTAATATTGACTTGTTCCCTTCATAATATTTGATTCATTTCCTGGATGTTATCTTGCTTGTACCTTTCGACTGATCACATCATCCTGGACTTAAAAAACAAAACAAAAAAAACACGTTTGAGAACAAATGTAGATTTTTTTTCTCCATGTCTTTTTGTTTTGAATGAATGTAACTGTTGTACATCACGCATTGTATATTTTCATGACATCGTTTTGCCATTCCTTATGTCTGTCAACTGTGTAGACCATTCTGTCGGTGTTACCTCATGGTCTCATTGTGTGGATGTCTGTACAGGTTACATGTTTGTCTCAAAAAGCTTTATTTAACTTAAAAAATGTCCTCTTATTTACACCGTACCATTTGAATGTGAAGAAGCCAGCGTCTCTGTTTGTGTGGGGATGTGTTGGCACGGTTCTTTGATGGGAGACTGTTCTCTGATCAGCCTGCGCTTTGAATATTCCCTCTGAACATAATTGAGACGTTTGAACAATAACAGCCTCTGGAGAAAAAAGAAGCCGCTGGTCAGACCAGGACTCCCTCACTTGACGCTGTTCTGTGAAAACGCTGACACTTGAAATGTATCTCGTCAACTGTTGCAAAACTAATTACCCTTCAGAAATGCTACCACTGAGCCCCCCAACCCCCACCTCCCAGAAATAAATGTATATTATTTACTTTAAATCGCTATTGATAGATACAGAATATAATAGATACTGATAAAAATCTAAAGCAACTGTATAGTCAGTGCAGTAATTTTAAGTTAATTCAATCGATACATGAACTTTGTAGACCCTAATCAGTGACAAAGTGTTTCTTTCTGAGTAGTGTACGAAACTGTTTTATGAAATAGTTTGAAACCGATTAAAGACCTGTTGCCAACGGGCCTGGGTCTGATGACAAGAGTGATTTTGGATCTGTACAGGAAAGAGAAGTTTTGGGATTCCTAGCTCAGTAATGATGTGACTGTTAGACACATAAAGACAGAGCACATGACCTTTAAAAAAGGCAAACAAAAACTCTTGAGTCAAAGTAAACCTCAAGTTTGTTTTTGGCTTTTTAAAATTTGTTCGGAGTTGCTTAAAAGCAGTGTTGTAGTCACTTTGAGTTGAAACTCATCAAATTCAAATCTCGTCCCATCTTGGATTTTTTGTTTAACTTGTTTTCTTTTACTTCATTCTGTGCATTTTTGAGAATCGTTATATTTCCAAAACATTTAATCTAACAGGCAACACATTGTGAGTGAAGTTTAAAAATGAAGATTAACTCTTCCAAATCATTGCTAGCTACCCAAAGAAACTTTCCAATCATTAATTCAATTACTTTAATTAATAATTTACAAATAAGCTGTATAAAGGGATGTTCAGACTGAAAGCAAAGTGAATTTTAGAGGCAGTTCAGAGGCGGACGTGAACGCTGGATTCAGTCTAGGTGGAGCTAATTAAAGCGAGACTGTGCAACTGTTGCTGCGGCTTCAAGAGACAGTTATGACAGATAACTTCTACCACTATGTTTAGCATTTGATTAATATATCAAACTATTTCAAGAGAAGAGGAAGTGGAGAAGAGTCACAAGCTCAATGTCAGTGTTTAGCTAATGTTTGTCAGGATTAGCTAACGTTAGCCACCATAAACTACAGTCAGATCAAACTGTCGTAAAGTTACATAATCTTGCTTTAAGGAAAAGTAGGTTCATTCAAATAAAACATTTTCATCTTATTTTATGAAATTAGTTTACTGCGACAAGAGGAAGAGGACAGGCGTGGGTAATGCTAGCTAGCTCTGTCTAACACAGATAAATGAAGCAAGGGGAAAATATGCTTTGTGTTCAGTCTGAATGAACTTTAAAACTGAATTTTGTATGAGTTGTTCAGCAGACAATGACCATATGTCACTTCCTGCAACTTAAGCAATTCTTGTTTTGATTATATCCACCATTTTCAGATGTTATACAGTTCGCCTGGTGAAGCACTGTAACTATACTTTTACACTCCAAACAGAAAATGCATTTCACTTACCATTCTGATAATTGGCATAATTTTCATTCTGTAGATTTATTTATTTATTTATTTATTTTTGACTTGGAGATAACAGTCTTTGGTTTTTGATTAATTTATTTAACAAAATAGACTTTGGTCTTGTCTTGGCTACTCCTGACTACAACACTGCTAAAAAGGTGACTGTGTAGGACAAATTAATCTTAAACTTGCCTTCTTGTTTTTATATATATCTTTAAAGATTTTATTTTCACAAAGTTAAAGAGTGAATTGACGTCTTGGATTACAAAGTTAAAGTAACAAATAAGTAACTTCAATCTGGCTGAACTTTCCCTTTAACATATCAGAAAAAAGACATATCAGGATACTGAAGACAACCCCAGGCCATTTTCTACTTCACACTGTAAATCATAATATATTTTAAATGTATGTGTTAGAGATATAGCAAATCCGAGTCATATCATCATGAATTGGAAGTTGTGGCGTCATTCGAGCTGTATACTGCTTTTGACTCTCTCTAGCCACGTCGAATAGAGACAATCAAATCATGTTAAATAGCCATTTTCCACCTCATTATTTACACATCTGCCAGTGTTGGAAAATGCATACAAACAATCTGCTGCTGTTTTTTGGAGTCTGTCTGTCTATTTTGGAATTGCTGGGATTCAAATATTGTAAGTGAATCATTTATATTTGTACTGTTTACAACTTTCAAGTGCATGAGATGGACTATCAAAGATTGATTCTTGTTATGAAAAAAAAAAATCCTTCAACACTATATATAAAAAGTATGTGAGCATTTTTCTGATGAACTGTTGTCCATTGAGCAGTTTGATCTCAATACCTAATGAAGTTTTACGTCAGGCTTTGCAAAACTTTTCAACAGCTTTGTTTGAGATTGTTTCAGTATATTTATAGATTATATAAATGATTAGACTAGCATTTAAATAAAAAAAGAGTTACGACCTGTGCACATGCTAGAGTTGACAACCTGACTGGACAACAATCAAAGATCTAACATTAGTGCCAAGTGTACATAACAGATTGTAGACTATGTTTTATCGTCACTTGCCGTAATACCAATATTCCTTGTGAATCTTTTGACTTCTTTCTTTTGAATGTACAAATTGTGTTGTGTTTTTTGGTTGCTTTTGTTTTTTTTTTTTTGTTCATTTAAATTTCTTTTCCTCCATTTTCCTTCTACTTGCATAAGCATTGATGCTGTGTCGTTCTTTTCCCCTTGATTCCCGTCCTTGTATTGTAGATGATAGCTCCAAAAAGCTTGTATTTAATGATGCCTTATGGTCCATGGCTTAGTGATGAGTAGATTTTGATCACAAGCTCTTTTATTTGCACTCATCCTTTACAAAAGTGTATGACAATAAAAAGATGTTTTCATTTTGGACGTTTTCTGTTTCTTTTATGTCATCTTTTATCTTAGTCAATCCTTATCCATATTTTACTTTGGTTGAAATTTTTAACATCCTCACAGAGCAAATTTGGTGGTGAGTCAGTGCTTACTGCCTAAATAATTGTTTTAATCATTTATTATTACTCGTTAAGTAATTTTCTTTTGAAGTATAACTTTTGATGGTGCACACTCAAATTCTACTTAAAAGGGACTCTAATACTAAAACATCTGTGTTTTTAATTACCTGTAGGCTTGAGAGATGGCTGTTAAAAATCTACTACTTTAATTATTCACAGATATCAGTAGCTTTAAACAGTTTGAACTCATCACGCAGAAACAATGTGTATCTATGGCAGGAAAAAAGACGGACACATCTTAACCCTTAACATCCAGTTTTCCATTTTTAATCAGCTTTAAAGTTCAAATCATCTTGCTACACTGCTCAAAAAAATGAAGGGATCACTTAATCATCACAGTATAACACCAAGTCAGTTCAGGGATATCAATCTGTCCATTTAGGAAGCACGAGTGATTTAGAATCAATTTCACCTGCTGTGGTGCAAATGAAAGTGACAACAGGTGTGATGGAGAGACAAAAGCAAGACAACCCCCAAACAGGGAATGGTTTTGTGTGTGGTGGCCACAGACAGTTGCTCTCTGCTGCAAGTTGGATCAGCCTGTGATTTCAATTTTTTACTTTGATTTTCGGTGTGATTGTGAATCAGGCCTCAGTGGGTTGATGATTTTGGTTTCCATTGACCGCTGTTACTTCATTTTGTTCTCAACAAGTTATACGATGTACGTCAGTAAAGATTTTCAACTTGAATAATTCGTTCATCAAGATCCGATGTGTGATATAAGTGTTCCCTTCATTTTTTTTGAGCAGTGTATATATTCTGTATCTGCTTGTTCTGGGTGTTTTTTTTGAAGCCATACAATGTTTACAATGTTTAATCAAAGCTACATCATGGTTTAGATTTGGGACAGCGTTTGGCTTCACTGTATCAGTTTGACTGCCCCAAAGCCGACTGATGTTCAAGCTTGATAACATTTGCCAAGATATACAAGATATACTGTTTCCCATTGTTTCTTATGCAGTGAGCAAATGACAATGCGAGCAGGCGCTCTGCAGCTCTCTGTGAAACAGTGACCTAAAAAGATAAATTTAGTCTCTATTAGCATATATTCCCAGCCGTCCACACCATGAGAAAACCTGGGGTGTCATCCTGCAGCAGTAAACAAAAAAACAATTAGATTGAAAATCTGCTTAAACTGGTTTCCTCTCATGAAACCTTCTGAAAATAGGGTGAAAAAAATAAAAATGATGATCCTCAACAAATGTTGCCAAGGCTATTTAACATTTAACAACTTTTTACACTTAAAATTTAGTTTTAAGTCTAAACAAGGAGGAATTAATATCCGTAAAGCTGTTTAAACACTTCAAATCCCCAAATCTTGTGTATTTCTGTCTATTGTCTTCTCTGTGAAAGAGCTGGTGTACAGACAGTGTGTGCACATTTTTGTGTGTGTTTGATTGTTTGTGCATGTGTGGCATA